AGGATAGAAACCTGTAGCGTGGCAGGTGACTGGAGAGGAGGAAGACTTCTGGAGGAGAGACACTTTGGGGACATCTGTGGAGTAAAGACAAACAGTTCATTCTTTCTGTATTATTACTATGACTTGTATTTGAGCTGGAGAGGTGCATAGTGCAGATGAGACGTGAAGAAAAGAGCGCGGACAAGGTGGAGTGGATGGAGACGAGCAAGAGTGGAAAGGAAGGTTTACAAGATGGCAGTGAGACCTGCTGTGATTTAATATCTGAGGATGGTGGCACTGAGACAAATACAGGAGACAGAACTGATGATATTAAAATTATCATAAGGAGTGAGAAGGATTAGAAATGAGTATATCAGAGCTAAAACTGTGGAAGAAGATCAGAGCAAAAATTATTATTATTAAAACCATACTAATTTCTTTTGATGTGATGTAGTTTATAAAATCAAATTACATTTAAAAAATATATCAAAATGCCATGCAAAGTGTCATTATATTAAATTAATGTCATATTAAGTAATAAACTGAGACATATGACTTTTGGTTAACAATCTAATTCTGGTCATAGATTTTACCTGTTTTCATCAGAGAGCTCCTCCCATAGGTCACATACTTCTTCAGCCACTCAGGACAATCCTGGGTGAGGTAGTTCTTTGTCTGTGCGATCCAAGCTCTGTCACTGTCCCACTTGTTTTTGCTGATGACAGCCTGTTGTTTTGCAGCGACCCATGTCTCTTTCTTCAGGTCAAAGCTTATGAAGTCCTCTCCATCATAACCGTATTGGCGATATCCAGTCACTTCACCTGTTTCATCCCATTCACAGCCGTCCATCACCTGGACAATGTGAACACCTGACAGAAAAACAGAGACAAAGACTGCAGTGAACCAGAGAGGCTGCACTAAAGTCTCATACTGACACAGAGACGTGATCAACATATAGAGGATCTACATTTATGGCTGCTTTTGTCTCAGTGGAAGATTTTTAAAACCAATCATCATTAACAATGTAGATTTTAGAAAAAGACACTGGGAAAAAACAGAATTCATTTTCTCCCGTTAGCACATCTACGTCCTGCCTGCAGAGATATCACTGCACAGTTTATCTATCCTGTTGTAGGTGGAGCAACTTCCTGTGAGCTGCAGGATCAGACAAACACACTAAGATGGATCCTGAGCAGCCGACACAGATCCTGATTCTAGATTTACTTTCCATCCTCTGAAACTCTGCAGCCGTTATCAGTCCAACAAAATCCTTCCTGTGAGAAACTAAACACCAGACTGTCCTGAGGTTTTTCTAGAGGTGTCTCTGTTTGTGACCTGACAAAAAGGTGAAAAAGGTTCCTCTAAGATTTTACAACCATGTTGTCATTTTTGTTACATTTAATAAGAGCAGAGGACTGAAACAATAACTCCGACTTTGAATTTGACTCCATGCTGGGACACTTTGGTGTTTTTCAGCGCTGTGACCAGATCAGATTTTGCACTAAAAATATTAAAACATTCACATTAATGATATTATTGAATGTGTAGCACAGAGATCTGTGAGTGTCTTTGAGGACGAACCAGAGCGCCGCTGATGCTGTGGCGAGAGGAGACAGTCTACGGGTGAAGGTGACAGGAAGAACAAGAAACGCCTCAGTGCATCATCATAGGTATTTTCTTTATATAAACATGTAGCGTATGAGCCCACAGGGCCACATGTGACCATGTAGTTATGTCTGTACTGTGGATGATTTTGAAGATGAGCGTCAGTATTTTTAATTGACTTTGTATCATTTATTTTGTACAAGGAAAAGTTGATTAAAGTTGTTTTTACCGGCAGGACTTCTTTAAAGAAGTCCAGACGCTTTTCTTTCCAAGCTCCTTAGAGCACATCTGCATAATGACTGACACCAGCACCACTGACTAACAACGGGCCGCGAGGTCAGTGTCTGATTATAAACACGCAAACTGTCACGATCATCGATCAGTGGCCCTGAGTAACATGTACAGAGTTGAGGAACGGCCTCACAGTCCATAGTTACTCAGTGCTGCTGGTGATCAAACAGGCAAACTTAAGCGATCACTTTACCGGACTGAGGGATGAGTTGGTGTCTGCGCTCCTTCTTCTTTGATCGGAGTTTAACTACAGTGGATGAGAAACACGGGGAGGCCCCGCATAGTTTAGGAACACGCCGCACAGCTGTCACTGAGCGCCGGGTAAAGCAGCTCAGTGACCGAGCAAGAGCGCTGTTTTTTCCTGCAGCTCTTAAATGTCTCGCACACCCGTGATGTCTAATGCAGCGTTCAATGACCCCGCCAAAAATGTCGTTTTTTTCGCTACTCATATGAGGGCTTTCAAACACCACCTGTTGGCGCTAAATACGGTGTCCTGGCGGGGTTTTCTCCAACCTTTACTGCGTCCTGATTTATTAAAAGGCGACTTTTACATCATTTAGTAACCAGACAAATTGGAAAAGTGGCAAATGTTGGCCTAGACGACACCACGGGGCTGTGATCATGTAATTATGTCTGTA